GTTTTTTTCACTTGAATTAAAGTAGAAATACAGAAGGTAACGAAAGATTAAGGACTTGGATCCAATCATCCAATAATGAAATAAAAATTAGCAGAGTGAATCATGTTCTGAAGTTTGTCGGCGTATATATTTATGTATACAGATAAATACGAGTATACATAACACAAAAATATCTTAGTCTGGGAGGGGTGGGGGCTGGATTAATTGGCTCAAAATTTCCCTGGCAAATGAATTTTAATGCTTGGATTAAACGTCAAAATCATGTCTTTTAAAATTCAACGCGGTTCAGTTTGAAATCTTCTTTTTCCATCAATCTTCTAGTCGGTAGATTTTTTTTTTCTAATTATAATTATATTTTTTTTTTACAAAATTATAGGCAATATAGGTATATGTTCAATCTATAAATACATCCAACTTTATTGCATTTTCACCATAGCCATGGCTGAACAAAGTATTCAGGAGCTTGTTAAAAACCCTATTCATGAAATTCCCAAAAGATACCTTGTGAATGAAGAAACCTCAATTTCATTGGAGGATAATTCCTTTGCTGTAATCCCCACCATTGACATGCAAAATTTTGTTTCTTCTGGACCAAGCAAAATTTTCGAGCTCGAAAAGTTGCACTCAACATGCAAAGAATGGGGCATATTTCAGGTTTATTTCTTCGAGAAATTATGAATCTTTTTCTATTCTTTTTATTTCTTTTGAAATAATTCTGGTATTGCAGTTGGTAAACCATGGAGTGGATTCTTCATTGGTGGAGAAATTGAAGTATGAGATTCAAGAATTTTACAAGCTTCCTTTGGAAGAGAGATTAAAATACAAGGTAAACGAAGGAGATTTTGAAGGTTACGGGCAAACAATTATTCATTCTGAAGATCAAAAAGTTGACTGGGCAGACAGATTTTACATGATCGTCAACCCTATCAACAGAAGGAAACCTCATCTTTTGCCGGAGCTCCCTTCATCACTCAGGTCTCTCCCTCTCTCTCATTTATACACACATACCACACTCATTAGAATATGGACGCTTCTTCGCTAAAGTCTTAAACTTTTAAACTAGGTAGTTGATCAAAAGAATTTGAAGTTCAGTTTTTACTGCTACCTATTTATAAAATTATGTGCAACACGCTTTAGTAAAATATGAATTGATATGCACTAAGAGCCTGTTTGTGAGTGATTTTGAGAATTGATTTTTTGATCGTTAGGAGAAAAGTGGGGTCTATCTGTGAGAGAAGAACTCAAATATGATGGCTGAAATAGTGAAATAACAATAAAAAAATCAATTTTTTTGGTGAAAAAATCCGGCCCAAACAGGCCCTAAAGGTGGCAAGCTTTTTCGAGCTCATTCCCTCCTATGTCTAGTATATTTTATTTTCATTACTATTCAAACATGCAACATGGTGGTCTAATTGGGAAAAAATAGAGGCGATTCAAACACAGAGATTCTGAGTTCAAGTCTCATCTTGCCGTCTATTTATTAAAAAAGTGCACACTTCTTGTTGCCTATATATAGTTTTGTTCAATTCATGCAGGGAAACCTTGGAGGATTACATGTCCAATCTGCAAAAACTTTCCATGAATCTTTTTGTATTATTGGCCGAGGCCCTAAATATTGAAAGAACAGAAGTAGAAGAGATGTTCGACGATGGGATGCAAGCGGTGAGGATAACTTACTATCCTCCATGTCTGAGGCCGGAGAAAGTTATCGGGCTGACCCCACACTCCGACGGCAGTGGACTCACAATTCTACTGCAAGTTAATGGAGTTGAAGGGCTCCAAGTCAAGAAAGATGGGGTTTGGATGCCGGTAAAGTTCCTCCCAGATGCCTTTGTTGTTAACTTGGGAGACATTCTAGAGGTTTGTCACCAAACTTTATGCACAATTTTTAATTGTTATCAATATTTTAAAGCTTGGTCTGGACATTTAGCCAAGTGGCCAAGAATCGAAAGGGATCCAAGTGATTGACAAAATATATTAGAGTAATATTAATTGGGAAATTGTGCCACTATAAAATTAGTTTGGGGTTGATCTTGGCTGTCAATGGATACTCTCAATGTCCGAAATTGATCCAAGTTCAATTATTAAACCTAATTTCAATATTTAGAATGTTGACTGTGACTATAATTAAATAAAAAAAAATTTTGAAGTGATTTTTTCTGGAAAAAGTTATTGGTTCCATGGAATGTATAACTTAAAATAATTTTCAAAAAATGTCTCATGAACAAGCTCTTAATTATCATTATTTCCGTCCATAAAAATTCTAGGTGTAAAATATTTGATGAGAAATAAATTTGTCTAAAAGTAAAATATCAAGAACTAAGTTTATTTCCTATAAAACCATTTAAATTTTCTCACAAATTAAAGTGGTTTAACATGTACCAATGTAGCAAATAAATGATTTGCCGATCAATGTATTCACCATTTTTGCTCACTCTTGTCTACTTCATTTATAGATATCAATAGAAAAAAAGGTTATTGGAAAAAGTTCAAATATTTTAAACATAGTATCACATAACAGAAAAGACGTGGTGAAAGTGTCATCAGTAATGCTAAACATCTGCTAAAGATTTTATCTTAAGCTTCATCACACAAGTCCTAAATTCTGCATGCATGGATGCAGATACTGAGCAATGGGTTGTACAGTAGCATTGAGCACAGGGCTACAGTGAATGCAGTTAAAGAGAGGATTTCCATGGCTATGTTCTTCAACACTAAATACGAAGCAGAAGTGGGACCCTCACGTTCTCTAATTACAACTCAGCAGCCAATCTATAAAAGAATGAAAATGGAGACTTATGTCAAAGAGTTTTTCTCTCGGAAGCTCAATGGGAAGGCATTTCTGGAGTACATGAAAATACAACAAAATGATTGAATGTAATTAAATAAGTCTTTTAGTGCATATTTAGTCTGTGGATTATTTGACTGAAGAGTTTAATAAAATTCTAGATTGTATGAATTTATTTATTTTTAAATTAAACAACTATAAGTACCATATTTTATTAATAAAAAAATATAGTTCAAAATTGTAAAAGGAAAATTTTGCAATGTAAAAAGCATCTTCAAGAGACTTGTATTGATTGCATTCAACATATTGCAAATTTCAATACTTCACTTCTTAAACTATTAGAATGATATTGGATGTCATTGACATCTAAAATTTTACAGTTGTTCTGCATATATATAATGGTTTACATAAGAGTTTACATGTTGTAATGAGATATGATTGGATCAGAATCTTTTCAACCAAATAAAAAAAAAAAATCACCACTTTCTTTCAAGATTATTCAAAATTATATATGTGATTTTAAAAATGAGGACGGCAATGGTTCGTATTTTCTTATGGCGTGTATTTACTTTTCCCTACATACCTGTAATAATTTATTGCACCGGAAGATTGGGAGGAGCAATAGATGTTCTAGATGTGGGCGTGGAGATGGTTCGCTAGTTTCTTGTGCGGGACAGCAAAGGCAGTTCAAAGTTGGGAAGGCTTATGCTATAGCCTGGAGGATATTAGGGAGCTACTAAGACAATTTTTCAATATGGCTTGAGGGATGAGGGAGAGCAGGGGTGGACCCACATGGGGTCATGTTGGTTCAGATGACCCCACATTTTTTTTCTCTCTTCAGAAAATGGTCGTTTTAACCCGTTTTCGACCCATTTTTAATACATACCAAATGAAATCGAAATATTACATTCTTAATATCATTTCTAAGCGCTTATGACCTAGTTTTTCGCTTCTTAATGGTGTGCAAAATGATCAACCATAGTAAAAGATACGATATATCAAAGTAAGCCGTTCCAAATTAGTATTTCGAAAATTTTGATAATATGCTAACTTTTAAAATTTGTCAATAATCATATACTATCCAAATCTACAAATCGCTTACATCATCTAGAAGTTCGTTATGAGAACTACATCGTAGTTATATCGAATGGTCCACACAGATATCGAAAATAATTAAATATGTGTCAAACAATATATTAAAAGAGACGTTTAACTCGTCTTTAAAAAAAGATCAATTATTTTATTAATGTTTATTATTTTTTCACGATAAATTTTACAATATAATTTACATCATTTTATTAGAAAATTTTACATTAAATATGATGTCAAAAATTCTAAATTCGTTACAGGTTAAATATAATTTGAATTACTTTCAAATTATTTTTTTGTTAAACTTAAATTTCATTTACTTCTTACATCCAATTTGATTTACTCGTCGTTAGCTCAACATCCATAAATGACATGGTAAACAAAACTATACATGTAGTAAAATTCATTTAACAATATTGATAATGATAGAATTATAAGACATTTTGAAGATGTCAAAATACGTATTAACTTATTTTTATAAATATTATATTGTTTTGAAAAAATTACACATTAATTTTTGCAGCTAAGCACAACCTGTGAGGATCAACCCGCAAGTGACCGCGCCCTCACATGCTCAGCGGGGTCCCCATGAATAAAATAATCCCGATCTCATGTGTGTGTGTTGTGTCAACCCCGCGGTCATTCATGTGGATACTGTAGCACGACTCTAATTTTTGACCCTACAACCCAAAACGGTTGGGTCCGCCCCTGAGGAAGAGAGGCCATATTAGGAGGGAGCGATGTGTATGAATTGGAGCAATGATCAGGATAGCTCGGGGGTGGTAGTGGTGGCTTTGTCCTAACAAATGAGTTAGGCACAAATGTTCAATTTTCATGAGACATTCTTGATCGTCATTCAAAAAGTCCAATAATGTATGTATATATTGGATCTTTTGAGGCGATCATAGATCCTGGTGGATTGAATGAACACACAACCATCTAACGGAAGTTGGAGATAGAAAAAGAGAAAGAAAGAGCCATCTTAAATTCATAGAACATCTTTCACCAGATAATTCAAGAAGGATATTACAGGTGTACGACTTTATGTGTAATTCTCCTTGATGACGGAGAGATAATTCTGGATTATAAATAGAGCTTTTATATGTAAACAGAAGGAAATAAATCATTTTACACAAATCAATTGATTAGCATTTTGTCTAGTGATTTCCTTGATTTGTGTAGTCTTGTTAATGATTTCATTCTCTGCTGATCTTTCCTTGCATGGAGGAGATTGCACAATTTTATTCTTTGCTGGACTTTCCTTGCATGGAGGGGATTCCACAATTTCAGTATTCTTAACACCCTTCCTCAAATTATGCTGTGGAATGAGGCTTAATTTGTGCCGAATAAATTCATATGTTGGCTTGTCTAAGGGCTTTGTAAAGATGTCCGCCATTTGTAGCTTGGATGGTAAATGTCTAGTACGGAGTTGGCCTTGTTGAACGTTTTCTCTGACGAAGTGGTAGTCAATTTCAATGTGTTTGCCACGTGCATGAAATACGGGATTGGCTACCATATGAAGAGCACTTTGATTATCACTTAGCAATAGCGGTGGACGATTTTGAAGGATTCCAAGGTCATGCAAGAGATAAGATAGCCATAATAATTCAACTGTAGCATTAGCCATGGATTTGTATTCAGCTTCCGAACTTGAACGAGAAATAGATGCTTGCTTCTTTGCAGACCAGGAGATAATATTGCTTCCAAGAAATTTACAAAAGCCAGAAGTTGATCGTCTAGTGTCCTTGCTGTTGGGAATTTACTTAAACATACACAGCGAAATTTAAAAAATTTCAATTTCCATTCAGGATTCAACTTTGTATTTAGATAAAAACTGTGATAAGAAATATACCTTTTCTTTAATTTGCAAACTCCTTCGCGTTATTCCTTTCTAGCAGATTGAATCTGCCTCCCACAGCTGTCCAATTGTCCAGCCTCCAATGAAATCCACACAGAGAATAGACTGCAACTGCTAAGGTTTTCCTCTTGTGCCAACAAGAATAATATAACATTATGGACCTCAAACCTTAGTCATGTATTTATATAAACCCAAACGGGCTCGGCCCGGTCCGGTCCGGTCCATTGTTTAATTAATCCATTTAATTAAACCCGGTCCATGAATTAATCAATCCAATTAATTAATTCAGGAATATAAATAACAAATCCAATTAATTAATTTATCCAACGATTGTTAAATTAATCAATTGGGAATTTACAACCTATCAATTCTCTTTTGTGTGTGACCCATTAGGTTCCTGACCACGATATCTAACGACATGAAATATTATTTTGATATAATCAAACTGATATATTAAACACTCTTTTAATTTATCACAGATTCACACTCGTCGTCCCAGATTGACATCTAGCAATGTATCAGGGCAACACATGTGACGGAAAATGTCACGTGGTATGACAAAACCAAAATTGTTCGTTTACCATGAAATTATAATCCCTTCGTCAATATGATCCGATCAATTACGAGATATGGAAGTGTGTCAATCTCGATTATCGATCATACCTTTCATTTTTCTATTAAGTCAATATGAGTCGAAAACTCTTTTCGACTTATATGTACACCTTGGCCAAGGATTTCGTTACTGACTTAATTAAATGAATGCAGATCACAATCTCTTACTATCTAAGAGTGACGAATCCTCTATTGATCATTCACAACTTTCATATGGTTCTTGACATACACGAACGATGTCGTATTAGCGGCCCTTGGTAGAGCAACATCCAACACCGTCAAAATATGACTGTCCTCATATAAAGTACTATGATGACCTCAAGTTGTAGGACCAATTTCATTACCGAACGTTAGAGATTAACCACTGACACTCAAATAGTTATCTATGTGGAATCTCTTAACGGGTCTCCAATGTTTTGTTCTATAACAAAACATCCACGTGTTCATTTAAGTGTCACCACACTTTAGCTCGTGAGATCAGCTACTTACTTCACAAGTAAGAAATGCCACACGTGCCCCCCAGGGCACTTCTCCACTGGCAAAGGACGGACGCTGTCAAACCTGGCAGAGCAGAGGTCGTGAGTTCGAAACATGGGGCTCTTGAAAGGCAAGGATTTATTCTTGGAAGGCAAGGGAACATTTGGAAGGCAAGGATTTATTCTTGGAAGGCAAGGGAACATTTGGAAGGCAAGGATTTATTCTTGGAAGGCAAGTGGGAACTTGGAAGGCAATGATTATTCTTGGAAAGCAAGGTGCAACTTGGATTGGCTTGCTTGGCACTTTGTCAGATCAGGTGGGGAGCGCTCGGACCCTGGCCAGTTGGAGGCACATCCTGCGATTAACCGGACTGTGTGAAGAGGGGCCGGATCACAGACCCAAGGATTAGTCTATAATTGGACACCTTGTAAAAAAAAAAAAAGAAATGCCACACGTGATGGTCTAACTGTATTAACGATATCCGTATCTCGTTATTACTTACGACCACGGTTTATTCAAGATCCAATTATATGTAATTTGTATCTCACAATCACAACTCTTTGTGATCAACATATCACTTAAAATTGGATCTTCGGATTCTATTATTTAATATTATTTATCGCAAAATTAATTTAAATAAATAATAGATCTCGCCAAAATCAAATGCATTAAACATATTAAAAGCGTTTACAACCTAAATCGATTNTAAATAATAGATCTCGCCAAAATCAAATGCATTAAACATATTAAAAGCGTTTACAACCTAAATCGATTGAATTTAGGGCATAATACTTACACTTGCAACCTGCCCAATCAAAGTCAGAGAAGCCATAGAGATTAAGAGTCGATTGTTTGCACATGTGAAGACCAAAGGTAATGGTGCCATGGACATATCTGATGATTCTGTTGACAAGTTGATAGTGGCCTTGCATGGGAGAATGCATAAACTGCAAGACAAAATTCACACTAAAGGATAAATCAGGTCGAGTAAAAGTCAAATACTGTAGAGCGCCGACCAAACTGTGATAATGTGTAGGATCATGAAATGGAGTTACATCATCCAAATGTTTGTATTTAGGGGATATTTGGGTATTCATAGGCTTACGTCCTTCCATTTGGGCTCGCTTGATGATATCAAGGGCATATGTAGACTGTGACAAAAGTAAGCCATTAGTTGTACATGTAACAAGAAAGTAATGAAGAAAACCCAAATCCTTTATATCGAACTCTTGGTGAAGTGCAACAACAAAAGAGTTTAAGAGCATGGTATTAGACCCAGTAAGAAGCATGTCATCAACAAATAAAAGGAGAACTAAAATATAGGATTTGTTTTATAGTAAAGAAGAGAAGGGTCAGCAATACTACAAGAAAAACCATACTTAATTAAAAACATGCTAAAGCGAGAAAACCATGCTCATGGTGCTTGTTTTAGACTATATAAGGCTTTCTGTAACTTGCAAACATGATTTGGTGAATTTAAATTGACAAAACCTGGGGGTTGGTCCATAAAAATAATTCCTTTGATAGAACCATGTAAGAAAGCATTTTTAACATCTAATTGACGAATGTCCCAATTTTTTGAAGTAGCAATTGAAAGCACAAGTCATATAGTACCTTATTTGATTATTGAAGAAAATGTCTCATAGTAATCAACCCCATCTATTTGATTATATCATTTAACTACTAATCTAGCTTTTAGGCGTTCTAAAGTGCCATCAGATTTGAGCTTGGTTTTGTAAACCCATTTGCTGCCAATTCATGCATATTATGTTCTCTGGGAACTAAGATTCAAGTCTCATTTTTTTTGAGGGATTGCAATTCATCTTTCATAGTATTTACCCATCCCTCATGTTTTAAAGCAGATTTAATAGTCTTGCGTTCTTGAGGAATGGAGGTAACATTATGCAGATTTGTATATTTAGGATTTGGTTTGACAATACCTGATTTACCTCTGGTGATCATGAATGATCATGTAAAATAGATGTTGTAATGGAAGTGGCAGCCAAGTCTTCAACATGCAATGGATCAGAGATATGAATCTGAGATCCATGGTCATTAGTGGCCACATCATGAGCAATAGTGGTGTTATGGTGCGAAGTATCATAACCTATCTAGATAGGAAGCTCAATGACATGTGGGGAACTATCTATTGATATGGGATTTTGTGCATTGCACGTTGTGATTGGCTGGTCAAGCCAATCTGAAAATGTGGTGATATTTTCTGTTTCAGAGTTATGTTGGTGAAGAACACCAAGATTTTTATAAGAAAAAGTTTCTTCATCAAAAACAATATGTCTAGAGACAAACATTTTGCCAGTTGGTGGATAAAAACATTTGTAGCCCTTATGTTTTTGGCTATAACCCATAAAAACACATGGTAACAATTTTGGATCAAATTTATTTGAAGTAGTATTCCAAATGTAAGGGTAGCATTTGCAACCAAAAACTCAAAAAGAATTATAGTCGAGATGTTTGTCAAAGACTTTATAAAAATGTGAGTCATTACTATTAGCAAGAGAAGGTAAGCGATTAATTAAAAAGACAGCTGTGGAAAAGGCTTCTACCCAAAATCTTTTAGGCATATGAGAATGATGGAGCATAGTCAATCCAAGTTCACGGATGATTCGATGGCATCGCTCAACGACACCATTTTGTTCAAATGTATAAGGACAAGATAATTGAGGAACAATCCCTAGTTCGTACAAGTATTTAGTAAAAGCATTGCTAGCAAATTCTCCTCCACCATCACTTTGAAGTATTTTTATGCGACGGGAGAATTGTCTCTCAAAATAGTTAACAAAGGTACGAAAAAATTCAGATTTTTTACATAAAGGAACAAGCCACATATATCTACTATAATCATCAAAAATACATGTATATTATAAGAATTTATCAGTAGATAAAGTGGGGGATGGTCCCCAAAGATCACAATGAATTTTTCAAAAAGTCCAAAATCATTATTAAAACGAGGTTTAAAAGGTAATTTGCTAAGTTTACCGATTTCACAACTTTCACAAATCCTAAATTTATTTTTTCCTCGCACATGGAAAAAACCTTTTGAACGCAAAGCTTGAACAACAATAGGTTGGGGGTGACCAGGTTATTGATGCCAAACTACACTGTCCATCGCCTGGAAACGCGCAGAACATTGAGCCTCCAGTGATGCCTTGATGGTATATAAGTTACCCCTCTTGACTCCTCTTAGCAGAATCTTGTTTGTCCCCTTTTCCTTAATAGAGAATCCAACACCATTAAATTCACAGTTTATATGATAATCATTGGTTAGTTGTCCCACAGATAAAAGATTTCTTTCTAAGTTGGGAATGAGTAAGACATTGTCAAGAGTTAAAGCATGAGACTGATTGCATAACATATCTTGACCAATAGATGTGATTGGTAATAACATGCCATTTCCAACCATCACAAGATCATTACCAGTGTAAGGCTTAAGATTATGTAACATACCTACATTGGAGGTCCTGTGGGATGAGGCACTAGTGTCAGCTGTCCATTCTCGATCTTCAATGGCATCACGAATTTGTAGAGCAACAAGGGCTTCGTGATCAACGGTGTCACCATTAGATTGATCGTAGCGGTACCAACATACAGAGGCATCATGCCCATATTTCTTACAAATTTGGCAACGAACATTTGATATATTAGACTGTACCGAATTTTTGGATGCATTTTTTTTGTAGGAGGTACATCATCGTGTATTTGGCTCTTATAATGCATCAGACCCTTACCTTTGCCATGGCTGAATTTGCTATTGCCATATGAGCCACCTTTATTTGTCTTGGCTCTATTTTGTCGGCTGAGAAAGTGGCATAGATGCTAGTGGTATGTGCATTACTACTAGTGCGAATTTCAAAGGCTTGCAACAGAGAAATTACCTCACTGTAACCTGGAGTGGGTGGTTTAAGCATTGAGGATACAAAGGGCTCATACTAAGCACCTAAGGCATTTAAGAGGAAGAAGACCTTTTCCTTGTCAGAAATGGACTTTCCGACGACAGCAAGGCAATCAACAATACGTTTAAACTCTTTGATATAGGTATCAAATGATGTATCTGAAGACTTGCGAATGTAATTCAATTGTTGCATCAGCGTGAATGCTCTTTCCTGTGATGTGTGGACCATGTGGAGCCTCATTATAATACTTTACACTAGTCTTCTTGACCGCAATTTTTATTTCTTATAGGGTTCTATTGGACAATTTTTTATGATATGCTATAGAAAAGAGGTGCCTTTGAAGAAGTGGTTGAGACTTGAAAAACAATACACTAGGTAGAGCCTAATCATACTCTACACCTATCTTCTCGACTGCAATTTTTTATAGGGGTCCATTGGATATTTTTACATGTATATACTTGTCTGCATTAAATAGTGAGGAAAACTTGATTTTGTCTTCCCCCATTATGGTGAAAACCTGCAGCAACACATGACCATTGTTCATAACAATAAGCCCTTGTCTGACGACCTCTCAAAATTTAAACTGTTTGCTACAGTATCATTCTCCACCATACATTCACATAATAAAATATTCTACACACAAACTAATAAAGTTCCTTACTTTTGGACTGCACATTCTCCAAAAATACTATTCAAAACTCTTTAGTTTTTCAAATAATTGGTGTCGAACATGGCCTAAATACGATATTAGCTTCTTTTACATCTTACTGCCAAGAAGCAACAAATAATTACACAATAACTCCGAAGTACAGTATGCAATGAGGGATAGTTAAGTTCACACTTACAGAAATAAATGGATCCTGCTTGAACATTCTGTATGCGAAGAAAGAAAGACTCATCAAAAAGGTCGCCAGTGAGAGGTAAAATGGCATGTATTCGACGCTCTTTGTTCTAATAACCAAATCCTGCAATAAAAGTTATTTTTGAGCAAATGCTTAGCAGCACACACGATAAGTACTTAAATAAAAGTAAAGGGCTTAAGCTCTCTAATGAACTCACAATAATGAATAGCGGAGAAGCAAACATGGATATGAGAGAAAAGACGGACAAATAGCCAACGAACAATTGACGATTAGGTGGTTCAAAAACTTTAATGCTCATAACAACAATGGCCCCAAATGCTGAAAAAACTGCGAGTAACAAGCCGAGCATCTTCACCTGCATATATTACATTATTTAAGTAACAAATATGATTTCAATAATAAGTTTAAATATATCCAAAACGTAAGAACTAATGACCTTTTTTGTTCTATCTCCGTACACAAAGAAGATGATTATGTAAATCAACTGGAAAATGGCTCCAACAAAATTGACCGTGAAAATTAAAATTATGCTGGGAGAGATGATAGGCGTTCTGTACCAAAGGCATATTAAGCAATTCAAGAGGGCATATATATATAAGGCAACCTAGAAAATTGTTCCGTTGATTTGCTTCCGAAGATGAACATAGAAAAAAGTCTTATTAATTAATCAATAATTTGAAATTTTGTTTTTCTGTAGTTTCTGAAATACTCAGTCTTACATGGGTGATGAAATAGCACAAAAGCAAGGAGGTTCCCTGCAATATGCAAAGAAAGTTTGTTAAGGAAAAAGATATCTCAGAATAACTGAACTTTTTTCACAAATAAGAATTTGAAAACAAAATTTACTCAAAACGAACTTCTACATTTTTTTCTTTTTAGGCTTAGCTGAACATGCTCCAATCTCCATGGCTGGCTCTTTTACCTGATTGTTTTAGTATTAAAATACTAAGATTTCATAATTTGAGAATAAAAGACTGAAATGTAAATTACCAAAATGGTCATTGAACTTTGCAAAAAGTTTCCACAGGATCATTAACTTTTAAAAATTATCAAATTCATTGAACTTTGCAAAAGATTTGTATGGGGTCATTGAACATCACTGAACTTTACAAAAGGTTTCCACGGAGTCACTGAATTTTGCAAAAGGTTTTCCAGGAGTCACTGTCAATGATGAATTAGGTGATTTTTAAAGTATAGTGACCTTGTGGAAACTTTTTGCAAAAGTTCAATGATGAATTGAATAAATTTTAAATTTTAGTGACTCTTTAAAAAATTTTTACAAAGTTCAGAGGCTAAAAGTTAATATTTTCTAGTCGAGTTAACTTTGTGATTTAAATCAAAGATCTCAAATTCACAGCTTTCTTCACCATTTTAGACTAGGAAAATGGTTGTTGGCTAGGCCTAAAAACAAGCCCAAAGCCAGGGTGCCGAGGTGTTTTCACCTTGGCCCTTGGATCTGAAATTTAAAAAAAAAATGTATGAGATCGGGGGCTGAGGTGATGCGTCATTGAGCCGGGCTCAGTAGCAAAGTTCTTTAGACTATCCGTTCACTTTAGAAAAAAATATAAAAAGTCAACGTATGTTCTTAAGTGTACAAATACCCATTTTCCCAAAGATTAAAAAGAAAAATTAAGCATTGTCATACTAATTAATCAGCCCATTAAGCAAGAATCAGGAATAGAAAAAAGCTGTAAACTTTAAGAATCCCAAATGTTGATCATTATTGTCAAGCAAAACTTCAGATGATAGAAAACTAGAAACCCCTAAATAAACCCATCCTCTCCCCAAAAAACAAGGAGATGCGGTGAATGTACCTAAAATTCCAGCTGCAGAACTGCATATTGAATAAGTTGAGAATAAGCCACCTTCAGACATCATTCCAACCTTGTCAGATCAAACTTCAAACATTAATCTTAATAAAGAAAATTTGATTTCTCAGAATTGATATTTTAGTGGTTTTTAAGCTGGAGCAGTTGGGAGGGTCAAGACAACTGGTCCTATGGATTATGCCCATTCCATAAGGTGTGGACCCAATTGGGGAAGTCATAATTGAGATTTCGACCAAGTCACATTGTATTTCGTTTAAACAGTGCCGTTAATTAGGAAAGAATTTGTGGTGACTGGTTTGAGGTTTGTATTTGATTAGAGAGTGATTTCTACATTGGTTATTGATCTATTAAAGATTAAACACATATGAATAAAGGATTTTAGATCACCTTGAAATCAATGGATATTTTTATATCCTCACACATAAAAGAGAGATGATAAATTTGAAGGAGCTTTTAATGGTTTAACCAATCGCTTCATCTCTTACATCTTCTCCCCTGTGCTCCTTTAAGTGCCTCCCTCTTTTGGAAAATGAAATGTGGTTAATCCTAAAAACCATATTAAAATATGCCCATAAAGGTGAATTGGGTTGGGGAGACGGATTGTAGCACAACCCAATCCTCCTAGACTTGCTAATGATTTCGATGTAGAGTGTGAATTCTTAAGAGGGAGTCCATTCTGAGGGTAGTATAATTGAACTTCTAACTCGATGAATCCCATCAATCCAAGTGACCAAGTATATGAACAAATACAGTATTTTCAACTTTCATGATAATATTTTTACTGATATGAAGCATTTCTCATGCCAACATTTGTAATTGTTCTCTTGACCATGTTGAATTTTCAGGGCCGATCCTAAAAATTTTGAAACCCTTAGGAGACTATTCATTATAGGCTCTTATACATAATTTTTTTTTATTGGCGTAGGCATAGCAACATTAAATATTGAAATATATAGCATACTTCCCCTGTTCAGACCCATTAAATTAAATTTCATTTTTTCTTTTCCTATTTTCAATCACACAATCTTTCATCAAATAATATTATATGTAAATTGAAATTTTTTCATTTTTTCAATCATTCATTCTCTAACAAAATATTATTTCACCCATTTTAATTTTTGGAAAAAAAGGGGGCCAAACGGGGCTATATTTAAATGAAGAGTTTGTATGAAAGGAATTATGGAAATGTATTAAATATAAAAATAATTAGGATCTATATGTAGGATTATTATTATTATTATTTGAGACCCCAATTTTTGAGGCCCTATGCCATTGTCTTAGTGGCTTTGGCCCAAGGTTGAGTTTTGTGATGAAGGTAGCTTAAGTGCACTTAGTCGCTATTTGGATTTTATTTTTTCAAAACTTATTTTGAATCACATTTTTTTATCAAATAATATTACACATAAATTTAAAAAATTTCTTATTTTTTAACTACATGTTCTCTAAAAAAAAAAAAAAAAAACTATTTTAAAACACATTTCCCCAAAAAAACTCATTTGAATGGAGCCCAATCATGAGCTTAAACTAGACCTAGAAATGATCTGGTTCAGCTAGAGCCTATTTTATAGGTCCATTTTTTTTAACGAAAATTGAATTCAAATTCCAATTTCCACCCACTTTGTATTATTTGATAGCAAAATTTTGCCCGAAAAACGAATTCCCTTCTCTCACCCACGTGACCCATTTTCCATGAATTTGTGGGTGAGAAATCAATTTCCAAGTTTTTTTTTTTTTTTTGTAATGAAAATAAATTCTAACCACAATTGTAACAAATTATATCCCTTTAATTGACAATTTTCATGAAAAACAAAGTCAAACGAATATCAAAAGATACAAAATTTCAACATTTTTCAAGTGAAAAATTATACCAATCAAACACATTTAATTTGTCAATTTCCAATAAAATAAATTCTAGACAATTCAATTCCCTGAAATTCATTTTTTTTTCCATTCAAATTTCATCACTGCAATCAAACGGACCTTTAGTTTCTCTTTTTGGGTATTTAGGAAGCATGGAGTTCAAGTTTAATCATGTTTGGTTCAATTCAATTTGTTTTTGTACCGTAGTTAAATTTTTTAACATTTGTAACAACACTACATCAATCTAACCGAAGGTATATTCAATTTTAACCCTTACAAAATAACATATTCGAAATTTAAAAAGATATAAACAAAAAGTTATCTTATAAGATCCATCTATCGATGTATAAAATTACCAAAAAGCAAATAATAATGCTATAAGATCGGTGATCTTGAGTAGTAAAATGGAGTTGTGACTTGTGAGAGATGAGTGGCTAAAAACGAAGGCAATAGTTAAATCTAAGTGACAGAGTAACTAAGCGTTAAGTAAATTGTAAAGTGAAGTTGGGTTTTGACTAAAATATGTAGGAAATAAAATTATTTTGGGTTTGGCTTGGTACTTGAGAGTTGGAGCACTAGACGCTTTCAGTTAATTACTTAATTAGAAAATTTATTTAGAAAAAAATTGCTTATTCGAATTAAAAAAAAAATTTAGGGAGATTTGGTTCTTAGTCTAGAACTCAGATTCGTCGATTCTTGATTTTAGTATACATTTGAATATTTAACCAAAGAAGAATCAAACTAAATCGCTCAATTAGTTTCGAAAATTTTGCTCAACCCTAGTTTAAACGTTGCATCAAAGGGATTACAAGTGCTGCTATAGAGGAACAAAAATTTAAATATGAACGGAAAATTTTCTATTTAATTAATTTTTTAATTACTGTCTATTAGATTAGTTAATTTTTTAAATTCATCATTTTAAAAATAATTTATAATTTAGTATTAAAATAAATTATTTAAAACTTATTTATATTAGTTATGAATAAAGTTTTTAAGCAGTTGATTCTCAACGGGAAATACCTCAAATTGACCTAAATAAAGGAAGGATTTTTCAAAATAGCCTTTAACTTTTCTAAACATTTTGAACTACCTAAAACACCTTAAACAAATATTAAAAAATAACCCTTTATCTAATATAAATCTTCTATTTAAGTCCTTAAATAATTAACAAATAATTTTTCTAAAAATTTGTGAGAATTATTAATGACTAATTATAAAATAGAAAAATCCAAATATAAGAGAGGACCATATAATATAAAAAAGGTTGTTAAAAATAAAAAAGAAATTAAGTTTGAAAAAGAAATTGATAAGATAGGATATCAAGAACAATTATATGCATCACAAGAAATATTAAAATGTTTCAAAGAAAACTTATTAGAAAATTTTGCTAAAGGAATTGTAAGAACAATAATTATAAAAGATATACAAGATATCATAGATAAATTGGAAAAAAGGAAGAAAAATATTTCAAAATATGATATACCTTTTAGAACAGATATAGATATGATAACAGATATTGATATTATAAATTCTCAGACATTATTAGATTTTGAAGAATTACTTAAAAATTTATAAGAAGGCTAATAAAAAATAGATTACCACAAACATATAAAAAATTGGTCTTTATCTTAAGATTTTATTTACATCTAATAGTAAAAATAAAAGAATTTTTGGAATATAAAAATTTTAGATTCATGGTTATTAGATTTTTAGATTATTAGATTTTTGTTCGCTCATAGTAGCACCCGCACAGTTGGTATCAGAGCCATAGAGATCATGAGAAAATATATAAAAAATAAAATTACCTAAAAAATTATGATTTTAGAAATTATTGAAACTTATAAAAATAGACTAAGGTACCAAGTAAAATATAGTTATGACATAGAAGGCTATATAGAAGAAGATAATATAGTTGGAACATATAGTAAAGATATAAAAGAAGTTTTAGAAATTTTTAGAGTAATTAAAAATCTACCTTTAGAATTAAAAGAGAAAATAATTAAAAAGATATTATTTGAAGAATATAAGCATATATATATATATATTAAAAGTAATCCAGAGGGAAATAGATTTCATAATAATCTGAAATTACTATGGAAATCATAAAAAAATAAATAATTATTATCAATGTATTGAAGAAAAAGGATGTTATATATTTTACAACCCCATCCCTAATAAATTAAAAATAATAACATTATATATAACTAGAAATTTGCCTAGAGAAATAAAGGAACAAATATTACATAAATTAATTGTAAAATTTATCATAGATAGACGTACATATGAAATAATTTGCGAAATATTTGAAAATGA